TGAATTCCGATTTCCGTATGAAATAAGCAGCCAAACGTCTTAGACTGTCAACATCGCTTCTTTCAAGCTTACGCATCACATTTATCGCCCTGAAATCCGATGGGAAATGGAAAAAAGTGAATGCATGTGGTCCGAGACATACAGGTCCATCCAATCGTTGTCCGTGATGAGGATGACAGCCTTGTCCAGATCGCCACTGGAGATCAGCATTTCGGCGGCAATTTTTGGTTGGTTGGAATCGCGAGCCCAATCTGCTCGTTTACGCATCAGCATACGCTGGGTCTCGCCAGAAGCACTGGCCATCACTTCCTAAACGGACTATAACTCCACACGCAATTCGACACCTTTGATTTCTAAACTTTTATATTCGATTTCAACAGATATTTCAGAATACTAAAATAAAAGTAAGTAAAACTACGTCTTGCATCTAGTGATGAAGGTAGGCGAGGTACCAAAACGAGATTGCCATGACTATTCAAGAACCCCTACTGCAGTCCCCTCGAGTTACTCCAAAGAACCCAACTCAACACGAAATTTGGAAACGATAATGATGAGCATTGCCATGGAAAGCTAATCAAACTTTCTAGACTATGAGCTCGACCATCAGCACCCCATTGATAGCTGGATCATTTGATGGAAGGGACAAGTACAGGGTTCACATACCTGAGCATCCTCGAACATACGTAAATCAGTGAACAACTGCATGGCACGGTTTTCGTCACCATTAGAACGATAAAGAGCTGCAGCTTCACGGAATTTTCCTTCATAACAAAGGACGTGAGCTCGAAGGATGTACTCAGGCTCATTGGCAGCCAACATCGCCTGCAAAGACTCTTTTTAGGAATTGGAAGAAAGGGCTAAGAAGCATAAAACATTCAGTTTTCTTGATATTCTGCTTCTTAGGTCTACCTGGTTCCAGAGTCATTTACTTCCGCTCTGATTCGACACCAGGAGACCCCACTAGTGAGTCTGCAGGATGTACTCTTCTTATGGTTGGTCTAGATGTTGGCTTTTCCCTCGACTCCAAGAATCTCATAAAAAGTCAGTATGAAGGCAGAGTTCCGAACAATCTAAATCCTTGGCATCGATACGAATTTGGCAAGCTCTTCAAATTCTGAAGGAAGGCGAAGCTGTCAATAACAAGGAAGCCGAAACTTGTTCTTGACGGTGACTAATCAATTAACAGATTCCTTGGATGAGGTTTCAAACCCCTTTGAAAAAAGTATAAACGCACTGGCTTGAAAATAATCCGGACTGACCTTGATTTCATGAACAAGCTGTATTGATCGGTAATCCTTGTAACGAGCAAATGCTTTGAGAGCAATTTCACAGTTCATATTCGAAATGGCATCCATGGCAAGAATTTGCCAATCCTCTCGAGTCACACCAAGGCAAGCCAGATCGTACGCTTTCCTTGAGTAGAAAACGAGTAGAATCAACATTTTACAAGAATTTATATTAATTGGTAACTACTACAGAAAACAAAATCACTAGGAAAAAGAGCCATGAAAAGTAGCAATCGGAAGGAACAAATGGGTGTGAGGGAAGGGAAGTTGGTCTATCGGATTGAATTCTATCTGCTCGAGGTCACACCACATCCGACAAGATCCGCTCTTACTAGATCTCACTCTGTTTTTTGTCGTTCCCTCATAATGCCCTTACATCGACACATCTATTGTAATCAGAGAAAACGTGAAGAGGTGGGTCGACACATCCATTTGGAGGAGGAGCAAAAGTAAAGAGGTGGGTCCACACATCTATTTGGAGGCGGAGAGCGTGAAGAGGTGGGTCCAGATTTGCCACTTACTTTGATGATCATTACCTTTCTTGTCGTATCTTAACAGCAAAAACATCTCATATTTCACACTTCAACAATTATGGATTCTCTTGCTGGTGCCTATGACAGGGCCCTAGAAGTTCCTAACCTATCTATCATGTTACTTGCCCTTGACGTGAATAACCACTCAGAGCTGTTCGGTCTTCCAGTAACTTAGAAAACCTCAGAAAAGGAAAGTCAACTGGATGAGATCAAAGAAGCAAAAAAAGGAAAAAACCATGTCTGACTGACTGATACTCCTTATTTTCAATGTATTGATAGAGCTGGTTTGAAAACGGCACTTCAAGAGCTTGCATAGCGTAGATATGTAAGCAGTAGACTTTGTTTCCAGAAAACCCAACAACGAATCCCTGAAAATCAGTTTCTTACTGCAAATGCCACATCCAAACACACAGTGCTGAAAAACGAAGAACAAGCTTATTGAAGGCACAGCTCACATTAAAAACGGTCTGTTAGATTTCTTGCGAAGATAAACCTGTGACCCCCAAGGATAACCAAGAGAACGCTGTCGGGCCGGAAAATAATCAAGTAGGACCTACTAATAAGGGCCCTCAAAACAGGGGAGCTAAGTTGATAAACATTGTAGAAGCTGTAGAGGTGCACCCTTCGCACCGGGACCCACACCTCGCAAGCAGGTAGGGTACTGTAGCCAGCTGGATGCAGTGGCGCGCACATTCGAACAGCTCGCTCCGATAACCCTTTCATGCAACTTATTCTGTATAACCGCTGATTTTCATCCTTTTTCAGAGCTTTATTTTCTTTGAATATGCCGATTTTCGCGTTTTCTTCTCCACTTTTGCGCCATTCCTGACTTTCACTGCCGTTACTCTTCTAGAACTAGATAACTCAAAATTATCGTGAACTATGCTTGAATGGAGATTTCGCCCCGGGACGATTTCCAGCTTTATAAAGTTTTGATAAAGATTTCTAGATAGTTCACAAAAGCTGAGATTTCCTGAACAAAGCACTCACAAACATTCTCTGCTGATGACCGGGATATCCTCTTGCTCGAACCGTCAATTTGGAGCTACCCGAATAACAAATAATCTCCTCGTTGTCGCTATTGAATGCCACGCTGTTACAATTAGGTTCCTGAAAGTATCACCATTACAAAGTAGGGAATAATCAGCCTCCGGAAAACTATCTGTTGAAAAAAAAAAAAACAAAACGAGTCCGTAACCTCGAATAGGACTTCTTTCGTTTTGGCGTTGAAAACCACGCAGAGGCCGCTGTCGTCCACAACGGCAATGTGTTGCCTGAAGTAAAACGTTTTCCTGATGAAAGCTGGTAATGATTGTTGAAGACATTATTCTCTACTTGCTATTATCAAATCAGATATTATCAGATATTAAGGATCGTATCCATAAAGGATAAAGTCTTTCGGCATTGATCAATCCCGTTGAGGGATGCGCCACGCACTCGACTTCCATTCAGGATCGAAGTGCGTATTGAATGCCTATGTAGCCAATACAATGAATTGCGGTGGCCAGCCGATGTACACGTCGCTGCTTCCATTCTCCCAGACGAGCCTGGTACCAATTAGCCCATTCCGGAAGGATGGAAGGCCTGGTTGGCTTAGGCGGAAATAAATCCCGACTTTAAATCCGTGACCATGCGTGTGTGTGCACCACTTGCCACTACACCACCTTCGCCCATGAATTAGATAATCATCACTTGATGTTATTATTTTACCTAACATATTTAAAAATTTTGCACAGTTAGCTTTACTTGTGTGTGCGGGGCCTAAAATTACTTTAGGGTTTTTTGTCCATTCCGACTTGTTTACAACGTTGTACAAATAAAAACATACATTACGGATCGTTGATTTGTTGTTGCTTTTTCTTAATTTCGAGTATAAATAAATCGTAATTAGGCTCATAGGTTCAGTGTAAAACTTCATGGAAACTAACCTCGTCGCACTTATATCTATGCATTTGATTGGGCCATTAAGTTTGAGTATTTGCACTGGGAAAGGGTTGTCAACGAACAGCTTACAGACCTGAAACCCCAAAAAGTTCAGTAGACAAGAAAAATAACCGAAAAAACCCTTTGTGGGAAACAGTTTAGACTCATCTAGGAGAATTATTTGCTAGGAATTTCCAAAAAAAAANAAAAAAAAACTCGGATTGATAGTAAGATACGTGGCTTAAAGAAACTCGTAAAGCAAAACAACTAGACCTACCTGGCCTTCGCGAAGACCGATGAGGATAGTTTCTCGACCAGGAGGCCCGCCGATGACCTGAGATTGTTGGATCTCTTTCCCGTGTGCAGTTAAATCCACGAAACTCACTTTGATGTACCGTATAGCAGATTCCAAGGACCACTCTCTCTGCTTCAGGCCCTTGTGGTCATAGCATTGAAGGCGACGTTCATCGCACAGAATGAGATGGTTTGAACACACCACATGAAAGAAAAATAGAGCCTAATTGGAAACATTTTTTGAAAAAACCAAACCGTGAGATGTAGAGGAGGGACGGACTAGGTTGGCAATCTCCCAGGTGCTAAACCAGGTGCTCTATCTAATTCAAAATACAAAATTAGTTAGTAGCACTAAGTGGAGTCCGAAATGTAGACGTGGCTCTGAATCGCAGTTCAGGTGGAGCAGACCGTTAAAATATTCATGAAAACTGAGCTCAGTTTTCAAAAGAGGGGGCTACTCAGTAGAAAATGTTTCCAAGCAGAACTTACAAGTAATGAACAGTCGAAAGCCTTGTTGATACGTTCACTTAATGTATACTCGAGCTGTTCGTTCTCACCGTCGCCTTTGATTTGGCGATAGATATGAAGGCGATCTGTGAGCTGCACCTGAAACCAGAGGAAGAGTTTTCTGGCTTCAGATAGCTTCAGAGAAGGGCTCACTCACCGCCAACTTATGACCGTAAATNACAACATCGGTCATATTGTCCCTGAAAATCTGCTTTTACCGACTAAGTGGCTACATTAATACAGTGATACTGTAGGTACCTGAACGCGTATCGCTCTTTATGTAAGCCATGAATGGTACTGAACATGAGGTTATAACACGCAATCGTTCCATCTACACATCCGACCACTACCGTACTTGGATTGGAATTCGGTCTAACACGTACACACCATACCCATGTATCCATCTGGGCTACGGTACCGATCTCTGTGCCTAAAACAAGAAATAATTGAATAAATTCGTTCTTTGATCAATAAAAATCGATTTACACTGACCGAGCCTTGTATGCAGGGTAACTTGCCGCCCAGAGCCTCCGATCAGGAGAAACTGCCCACTGGGGATGAATTCGACGCAGGTCGGATCATAGCTGAGTACCATATCATCCCGTTTGATCGAATTTCCATCTAAATCGTAGAAACCCACACGACGACTCCAATCCGTTACCACAAGTACTTCGGAAGTAACTCTGCAACAAAGCACTTTTTGTTTTGATGGTCCCAAAAGAACTGCTTACAAATCGACAGTTTTGAAAATTTTCAAATGAAAAAAACCGAAGATGGCTGAAATTACAAAGATGAATGAGTTTAAATCCATACTCCGACTCTCCAAAACGTCGCACTAGCTCGTCTTGCTGTCGTGGTGCACAGAAACGTAATGCCCAAACTGGTTCACCACCCGGTCGTTCGATTTTTGCCACATATTCGTCACTTTGCTGAAGCTGTAGGAGAGTTACCGCGACGGATCAAAGTCCAAGACTGGATGGTTTTCAAGGAAAATTAAGAGCTTGTGCAAATCACTACAGTAATCCTACTGTAACCTACAAAATTGTCGGCTCTTTTAATGTGCACGAATCCGTCATGTGTTCCAATAGCGAATAGACTGCCATCGTGTGACCATGCGCATGAAGCACAACGTCCACTGATTCGCTGTTTCTGCACGTTTTTCTCATCAACTGACCACAAACCTGTACGGTAATCAAATAAATTAAAATTAAATGTAACTACATGTGTACAAAAACAGTTTCGGCTTAGCTAGGCTGCTATATTCTCCTGAAATGCGAGGCCCCGATGCCCTTGCTTTTGCTAGTCTCATGAACTCCCTTATATTATACAATAGATAAATCAACACCAAAAATAGCTTGAGAGCAACAAAAATCTAAACAAGGCTGCCCCTTCGTGCCACCAATTCAAATAGGCCAACCCTTCCGCCTGATGATCTTAATGATTCAATGCATTGAGCTGAATTGAAACTCACCGAAATCACCAATGGCACAACTGAGCAGCAGCGAAGTAACTGGTGAGAAAGCTAGACACTGGATTGCGTCGGAATGGCTAAATCAGTTCATAAAGAAATATACATAAGTGCGACTTTACTGTTTTTTATCATTAAGTTCTCAGCTACGGTCATACCTCGGCTTGGCTAATACGGTCATCCTGCCTTACACCTCACCAAGTGAATCAGCAGAACTTACCTGTACTTAAGGGTGCCTTCATGCTGTCCCGTCCATAGAATCACTGAACGGTCAAGACTTCCTGATGCGAATGTTTCACCATCATGTGACCACGCCACAGCAAATACGAGATCCTTATGTCCTGAACGGCAGCTATAAATCGGAAAGCAATTATTGACTGGTCGCCAAGATTGATTTTCAGGTAAATTCATACGCTAAGAGTTGCTCATGGGTAGGAGTGAGAAATCGGAAGCTACAAAAGTGTCTAATTGATCTCTTGTCTGGGACCCTCGGCAGCAATGTAAGCAGCTCCCATAACCCTCAAATCAAAATCTTGATCAAACGAATTCCAGGACGGCCGCCAACGAGATGGTCAGACTTCTCCACGAAAGCTCTGAACGAATGGAATGTTTTCCTCCGTGCCCCTCGCGCAAGTACGATTCACTAGACTACTCTGGCTCGGGACAGGGACGAATAGGGACGTTACTGGAGCCCGCTCGAGAAAATCGACTATCAACGTTAGCACAGGTGATACAAGTGATTAACCTAATGGTAAAGTTTGGGAGAAACGTGGCTCCAGAAAAAGTCTGGATGGCGGCCACAAGGAAGGCTCGAAAACCGGCGACGATCCCACTCCTCACAATACTACCAAGGAACTCTGTTTTGTCGGCCTAGTAGAGGCTGATACCATACGAGGTAAAGAGCGTTTGCTGTAAATGCAGTCAGCTGATATATTTTAATAGCCAACACACGGTGCTAGCACCGACTGAGATTCCATTCAAATACTCCCCTTCGCCGTTAGAATCTCGTCCGCCCTTTATACGATATTTCGAGATTTTTGTGGGTTCCTCATTTTCTCTCCGACTGGCTCCTTTAGGAAGTTTCCAAAAAGACTGTTCCTTCAGTTTTTTTTCAAATGATTCCTCTAAACTACCCCTTACCTTTCAATACCTGTAGGAGTGTCCCATCGATACCATCATAGATGATAACTTTATTATCTGCCGCCACAAGAAGCTCTGAACCATCTGGCTTGAAGGCTAGGTCATATACACAGTGTCTGAAATTTCGATTGTAATTTTTCAAAGGACAGGCTAAATTTTGTATCGGTTATCGAAAGCACTCAAATATAATATAAGGATTTGGCTATTTACAAAGCCGTATTTCTTCGAAACCGATTGTTGTTAGCATTAGTAATTTGTTGGGAACCTGACAGACACATGCGCATCCATCGGATTATTTGTAAACAATATGTTACCAGTCAATTATTTACTCAAAACTGAAAAGTTAGTTTTCAAAGACGCCTTCATTCACTTTGTTAGAACTTTATTTTACGGACTCTGCAGATCTGCTTCTTTTCTTGCAAATTGCAATCGAGTTAGATTTGTATCTTCAGAGTTACCACTGATTTATATGATATTTTGATTTATATTTTAGGAAGAATCTTGGGAACTGAAGTTAGTAGGTCCATTGATGTAAGAAAGTATCAGTCCACATTCCGATCCGCGGGCCTGCGGTGATCGGGTGCCATTTGCAAAAAAACCACATTCTCTCAACGGAATATGGGAGCTCAAACACAACAATCATACTGATGTAGATACGTCTTCTACTAATTTCGATTACTGGATGTACATTACAAACATGCCAAGAATTGAATACAAATGGACTAAAAACTTTTTTTTAAATGGACTAAAAACTTTTTTTTTGTTTACCTGTTTTACTCATAATGAGATGGGCCCCCCAAGCGGATACAGACTACTTAGTTCTCCTCTATTGAAGGTTCTAAAACTCCTGGGTCCGCTTATTAACTATTTTCTTCAAATGGTAGACAACAAATCGATAAGGTTTCCAAGGTAGCCAATTCTGCCCTCGGGATCATCCCAGGCAACCTTACTTGGGAGGGTCGATACGAATAACTTACATATTTAGCATGCGTCAACATAGTCATGCATTGTTAGGTGTGGGGTAGAACGTATGTATTCTGTCTCATGGACATGTATCGAGTTGGGTGGAATGCATAAAAGGCGATCGGTGTTTACCTTATAAATAGGTTCATACTGTATGCAGAGGAGGCTTTCTTGCCAGCCCCACTATTCTGTTGTGGAGCCACTGCGATGCACGTCAAAGTGATCAACTACGACGTCATCACTTTTGTTGACAAACCGCCCACTCCCAAAAATAGAAGTAGAAGTTTTAGGAATGGGAGCTATTCCATTTTTGCAGTAATTGGTATGACCAGGAACTCGATCTACTGGCTGTCCTGGAACCGAAAAATGGTTCTCAGTGTTTTCTTTTCCAATTCAACCTCGTCGTTTCACGTTCCTTGCCTTTATTGGAAAAGCTTTATTTACTTAAACTGCCGGCATTTTAAGTTTGGTAAAGGCCTGCTAACCTTTTGGCAGAATTGCCTTCTTCACAGCTTCCTTCATTTACTGCGTAAACTTACGAAAATGCGTGCAGATTCCTCTCTGCTTCTCCTTCGTTTCATAGTTTGTCTTAAAAGGTCCCAAGAACTTTCCTCAAAAAAAGTTCCATGTACGGCTTCCTATGAACTTAATTGCATAATTGTATATTTTTCATAAAATCTATAAAGTTTTCTCGAAAAGCTTCAAGTCAGTCCCTCTCGCCGCCACATATGTCCCTTACTCTTTCCGAGATACCCAGGGCCTATTTTTTGTTTCTATGGCCATTGAAATTGCACATTAGGCACATTCGGTTTCCTGAGCTCAAAGAGCATCACATCTTCCGTTAGGAGTTCCAAGAAGCTCAATCAGCCAACTGGTCACAGCTCAACTATTCCTTCGTCGTGCAGGCATACTGCGCAGAACATCCGCCCAGGTAGACGGCAGCCTAGCGCAGAACCTCTGAGTTCTGCTCAGGAATGCTCGTAGTGTTCAAATCTGACCAATCTAAACTAGCCGTTATTCATGCCGATTACCGGACAGTACTTTACTTTACTGTCAGACAATGGAATGTCTGAAACACATATAATGACCTTACAGCCATACTGAGCCCTCGATTCCAAATGGGAGCCCAATGAGCAATGCGTCTTTCCATACCCGACCACATATGGACCTTTTGGTCATTAGACTGGCGGAATTGGGAGCTTCAAAATAGGCCCGACGAACCCAGTAATCCCTTTGCACATGGCTTTCTCGTCATTATTCGTCATCGTCATCATCAGCAGATTCTGTAACTCTCAAGCAAGCATTCGAAGCATTGTTGGCAGCTGGCCAAGTAGATATCGTTCCCTTCTTGAATAATTTAATTATACTTTACATTGCCGACGAATGTGATGCAGATAGCAGCTTTCTAGGGCTCATATGGCCTAGTCGCCGCATGGTCATTAAACAAATTAAGGATCCGCTTTATAAGAATTCCCAACATCTCCAATAACCTCACTTTACAAATGACAACTCTACTGCAAGTAGGGTTGCTGGTAGCGCTTGGCATTGTTGCACAGGTATGTTTTATTCGATTTATTATCAGTTTTCGAGCAGCTCCACTGCGAGTAGACCATAAAACTACTAAGGCGGCCGCCGAATGTTGTTCAAATGGCGACCAATCTGATTTCTGTATGGTCTTCAACATGCTATCACCAATGGAACAAGCAGAAGTGATGAGTTATATAGGTAAGTGATTGTCCCTCACTGTATGTCACGGCGATGTAGCACCCACTAACCTAATTCTATGACATTTACTAGAGCAAATGAAAATAATTTAATGCATCCATTGAAATCCGAAATCCTTAGAAAACAAAACCAAAAACTAGCTTCATCGACGTANTATAGGTAAGTGATTGTCCCTCACTGTATGTCACGGCGATGTAGCACCCACTAACCTAATTCTATGAAATTTACTAGAGCAAATGAAAGTAATTTAATGCATCCAATGAAATCCGAAATCCTCAGAAAACAAAACCAACAACTAGCTTCATCGACGTATCCTCTGAATATTTTCTCGGAGCCCTGAGAAAACTATTCCTGCACGCATTAGAAAACAGCACCTTGAAATGACCAGATACCATGTAGCTCTTCTACCACAACTGTGATTTTGTGAAAGCTACCCAAAGATTTCTTCAAGTTCCCCTTATGAAATGCTCTCTATAACTTAGTAAAACGAGCGCCGAATTGTCTCACCTACGATCTCTGAAACTTTCCAATAAGCAAGGGAGACGTACTGATACCTGAACATGCACTTGGCCTCTACGAAGTGATTGCTAAGCCTACTTAGCCCATCTGAATAAGAAAGGAGGGGAGGCAGGAGGGGATGCAGGCTTCCTCGAGACAGGCGAAATCGAATATGAGAGACGGGTATACGGTAGTCGTGCCACTTGCAGTTGCCCCCATTGAAATCCGTGAAGAATACTTTTATAGCAATATAAATACATGCCATAGGCATACATATATGATATGCAAAATGATATAGATAGTCTGTTCTGGTGGAAATTGATACAGAACGTCCTTTGCAGCGCAGCAAAGAACCCAACTTTGAGATCCTCGATCTCCTCTTCTTTCTTCCAAGTCCTCAAGACGATACGATCGGGTATGAACTACGCATAAAACCCAATCGCTTTGTGCCCCTGCCCTGTAGTGAATCTCAAACGCAGTAATACCTCAACCATGTGTTCTACCCATTCCTTTTTCTTCAGCAGCGAGACATTCGATTTCTTTTCTATCGTTGATTGATTATTTGCTATTAATTGTTTTCTAGGCGCGGTTTCCTATACACTCCCCCTAAAAATTTAGGAATCAACAATCTATACAGAACCCCTTTGAATAGTAAGCTTTCTATGTACATCCACAGAACTCAGTCGTTGCTGAACATGAATAATAGAGAACTCATCAGAAGACTATGGTCACAGAAATTAGCATGCCACACCGACGATTGTTCAAAAGCCGAATTCCCGTGTTTCTAAGGATTTTCTTATTGTAATCCATTCTGTATCCCACTTGTGCTTTCCGAACAGTTCCACAAAGGGACTAGAGGGAAAACGGTGTTGATCCTAATGACATTAGGACCACAGCTCGGTTTGTAGAACTTCTAACGGAAAATATCTAAGAGTTCTAGGCCTGAGACGAATAATGGTAGAGATAGTTCAGAATAGTGCCAATATGACGAACAAAACTCGAAAATCATGAAAATATTCAAAGAAATAGAAGGTTCCAAAAAGGAGTGAAATCAGTGGTTGGACGAGGATGTGTCAACAAAAATTGCATATAAAGGACATTTGGACGAGCTGTTCAAATGTGCACGCCACTGATTACAGCTAGCCGCAGTAAGCCGCTTGCGTGCAAGCTGTGGGTCCTAGTGCGACAAGTGCAATCACTACAGCTTCGACGAATTTTAAATGCCCAGTTCACGATAATTTTGAGGTACCCCGTTTAGTCAAAAAGCGGAAGTATAGATTTGGAATAGTTCATTGGTATTGAAGAAAGCAAGGAAATTCGTCGGTTTCGGGAGAAATAAAGTTCCTTAGTGGTAGGGATAGTAGAGGTTGGACGAGATTACCATGATGAAAATAACATGGAAGGGGTGTTTGGACGAGTTTTCAGTTGTTAGAATTTCGCAACGAGCTGACCATATCAAGCCAGAACTGTACAGAAGTAACTACCTTTTACTGTCACCGTTGGTCATTACATGTTGTTCCAACTTATTACATGGGTTCCCTTGTGATAGGTGCAGCCAAAATATGTTCATCAATAACAACATTGCATATGGTTTTTCAGAATCCAAGAAGGTTTTTGAGTTTTTATCGTTGCTTTATTTGCCTAACTTCTTACCAGGTAGAGGTCAATCTGATCTGACTTATCGGAGCAGCAACACAAAAGTAAAGTCACAGCAAAATTAGGATTTTCAGAAAATATGAATTGGAATAATTTCTATTAGATAAGGACGTTTCTCCTTGGAAGATAGAAATGGTTTATTCATAGGAGAAACATGTAGCGGCGATGCTGACGAAGCGCTCAGACTTATGGAAAAGAGGAAGCCTAACTTCATGCGTTTTGGCAGAAGTAAGTATTTACTTTCATTCAGAAAGAGAATACGAGATTTACTCTGACTGTCCTTCCAGAAAAACCTCCCATTTCAGGTTTGACTTTCGGTTCCAAAAAGGGTTCCGATCCGAACTTCCTCCGATTCGGCCGGAACCAACCGAACTTCCTCAGATTTGGTCGTAACCAACCAAATTTCCTCAGATTTGGCAAAGCCGCGGGTGATCCTAATTTCCTCCGTTTTGGTGAGTTGCCGTAATCAGAGCTTTCCTCTTGTGACCCTCAATGACAAATCTGATTTTTAGGACGAGGAGCTGGTGACCCAAACTTCCTACGTTTCGGTAAACGAGGCGTCGACCCGAACTTTTTGCGTTTCGGACGTAAACCGAACTTTCTTCGTTTTGGCAAATAAACAACGACACGATGAGAACGACAATTCCACTCCAACGTTTTTCACCTTGACATCTTCATTGACATCATCATCTGGACATCACCAAATTTGAATGGCGGCAACGACGGGCTGGTTGGAGCGCTTGGGCAACGCTCATTTACCCGAATAGATAGATTTGTTTTCAGATATTATTTCTTGAACTTTTCTTTTTCTATGCAGCTGACTGTGCACATGATGATAACAACAACGGGCGCACACATAAAATAATTAATATTCGAATGTAGAATAAAATTCGATCTTCGAATCCCATTTCCAGAAAGATTATTTTTGATTTTTCGACTTCGATCATCTTGAACTTCGTGTGAAGACCAGCAAAACTGTTGTAATCTGAATGAATTGAAGGAAGTCGCCCAGTCAAGGTCCTGAATCGGAAGGAAGCTACTGAAACACTTATTGAAAGGTGGTTGAGAAATGAGAGAGAGGCTTGAAATCAATCAAGGGTAAGTCCTATGGGCATATGCACTCCGGATACTACGGAATAAGCTCTCTTAAAGAAATAAGTTGCTTCGAACACACGTGAAGCCCCTACTGCCTGCTCAGGCGATCATCGACCTCAATGACCACTGTCTATCAGTGGTGATACCAGTTGGATCCTTCGCGTCTGACTTATAAGAGTTGCATAGAATCAAAAACAACAGCACAGCAAGGATGGACGTCCACGATGGCTCTGGACAGGATGGTCGTGGAATCACGGAAAATTGATCCCGCTAGAAATAAAGGCTAGAGAGGAGTTAAACGGGTTGATCGAAATTAGTTGTATCGTAGAGTTATGTTTTCTTTCCTTGGACTCAAGTGAATATGCCATTTATTTTCCTACCAGGAAGTCCGCTCTTTCTGATTTCTGGTTCCAGGAAGAGCCTATTTTGTTGTACCACATTGTATGCAATTGTGGAATGTATTAATGCAAAAAATTCGAAAGAGAAAGGGCACTTTCAAAAGCTCACAACAAAAGCCCTTCAAATATAATATCTGAAGCTCAGATGGAGCAGAAGTTTGCAAGACTAGATATAAAAAGCATGAGCTCTGATGACATTAGCAAACAATAAATAATTGGGCAACATTCTGTTAAGGAAAACCATATGGGTCCAGATAATTCAGCTTTGGCATGACGAAATCCGATCGTACTGGGAAATTCGCCGACCGGTAAAGAATGAGAAGATGTAGAGAAGAGAAGAAACTGATTTTAAAAAAATAAGAACTGTGGTGCTGGTTCTGCCGCTCTCATCACAACTCATAAATTTGCATTTATTTGTTTACAAAGTATAAATAAAATTAAAAGAATAAAAAACAAGTGAATCAAACAAAATGGTTAACGTAGGTAAGGTCACGCAGACAGAAAGTAGAAGGAAAAGGCCGTGATCTTTCTTTACCAGATCTAGATCCCAGGAGCAATTTTTTTNTTTTTTTCTGTATGGGAAAGAGCTTCTGACTGGGTAAATCATGTTGTAAGAAGAAAGTAATGTCGCACTGACCCGCCTTCATGTCCTTCGTCTTCAGGAACTTTGTCGATCCAGTTTAGCACCGGTCGCATGGACAGAATAGGTCGGTGACAGTTGACCAAACCTCCTAGCCCAGGCTCGTGTACACACGACCATCACCATGGCAACCTGAGTGGGAGAGCGTTATATTTAAACATTTGCAAAAGAAGCAAGCGCTTGCCCTTGAATTTGCGAAAAAATAAAGGTTTTCACACGGAAAAGAGCAATATATTATAAATGTCCGCGTTGGTGTGCGCCACGCACTCGATTCCCATTAAAACGCTGGGACGATGGAGTGCCAATAATTCCAGTGCCACAAATTTTTAAGGGAGAACGGTTTTCCAGCCATAACCTCCCCTCCTCAATTAGAAGTGCTACCAATAAAAGGTCGAATATGAGAAAGATCTTCAAGTCATGTTATTTCAAAACACGAGTCTAGCTCATAAATTGTACATACTACTGGTCCAACTGAGCTCTTCTGAGCTGTCTGTCGATTTTTGGGGCATTAGTGATCGGAATCTACAACCGTTCCACCGCCTAAAACGATCTTACACAGTCCTTCCCCGACATTTACATAGTTAATCCCAGATCCCTACGCTTAGTAGTTGTAGCTCCCAAAATCGGTCCGCCTATCGAAAATACCGAAAAGGCAGATGTATGCCCACGGGTTTTTGTTTCCACCTTTCAAGTTTTTTTTTTCATTTACTCCAAATCTACAACGTTGCATGGACCCGAAATTTCTCAAAGACCATAAAAGGATGCTGGGGAGGAATCGTTGTGTTGGAGAAAACTATTTGTTCCTGTGTGTTTTTATTTTCCTATGTCCTACCATTTCATCTATCCTCCTCAGCAAGAGGAGGGAGGGGTAAATAAAACCCCATCTAGTGATCCTAAATAATGTAAGGCAAGAGAAACAAAAAGCAGAATGCTTCCATGCATTGATTGCAAATCAGTTTCTCCCCAATCTTGATTTCTCAAAGCTACTCAAGGTCCTTGGAAACTTCGCTGGAAGGGCCACCTTAAATATATCTTTTGTCACAGTGGAGCTTGAATTCTGAAGGCCTAGCCTGCTTCCATGTGAGGTAGGTAGACTGGTGAAGGTGCCAGTACAGCTGCAGAAGTCGGCGTGACGTAGTGCGTACTGTGTGCAATCTACAATAACTTTTATTTGACGTCTAAATTGATTCCGATGGAGGAGTAACAAATACTCACGTTTTTATTTTTCTACTTCTTCTAGTAATTAATGCTGTATTGTGCTAACTGTGTTCAAGTGAGTGGTATGCCATTTGATGAAGCTCTTTATGCACCTCTTTGACCGATTCTTCTGTTGCAACATTTAGTTTACCGTCAAGGGGAATGAGGAACACTTTGGTCCTACTGAACTTTGTTTTGATTTGTTGTTCCATGTGGGTCTTCAACTTTTATGCCGATGATTTGTTGATCTGCTTTACTCTAGAATTTGCCATCTAAATTAAGCTATCGGATATACCCTTTCCTAGGTGTTTTTTCACCCATAACCGTGCCCAATCCGCATATACCAATTTGCTTCGGCATTCTCGTATTACACTTTTAATTTGTTTGTGGGTGGTTTCAAATCTTTTCAACAATTTGATAAACTCTTTCAGAGCTGCAAGGCTTCTATGACAACCAGACTTATAGTGAAAAGCTTGCCATCGAATTGTACCGAGGCTAGCTTGCGTAAATTCTTCAAAAAATATGGTACACTAAGTGACTGCACCTTGAAATACACAAAGGAAGGAAAATTTCGAAAATTCGCTTTTGTGGGCTTCGATAGCGAAGAACATGCCAAGAAAGCATTACAAGAAACGAATCTTTCTTATATGGGATCGTCACGGCTTCATGTAAATATTTTTGTTTATTTTCTCTGTTTTTTATTCATTTGTGTTTGTCCATTTGGTACTCGTTAAGGTAGAAGAATGTAAACCGTTTGGTGATGCGAACAAGCCTCGTGCATGGAGTCAGTACGCCAAAGACAGCAGGTGTGTCCTCGAACCATTCAGGCAAATCATTGAGTGGTTTGCCTCAGCATCCGCTCTTGGTTCAGCATAACATCTAGGGAGTGTACTTGTTCAACGATAAAGCATATTCCCCCGTAAAAGAGCGGTTCCTCTCAGAAGCAGGTTCTTTTTTGAGCATTAGGAAAAGAGCCACTAAAGTGTTCGGTTCCCGGTTTGCTTCATTAGAACGATCCAAAGTAGAGCTCATAAATACGACAACTACGCCGGAAAAACTCTCACATCGTTTATGCTGCTGACTATAGTTTACCCTTCGAATTTCAGTGCATACAAACGGAAACATGAAGTCATTTCTCCTTCTCCACATAAAGTCAACAAAGGAGAAAATTCCGATGAATCTGTCGAAAAGAAGAAAAAGAAAACTGATCCTGAATACCGGAACTTCTTAGAAGCTCAGGGAATTAAAGATGATACGGTTTGTCATTCAGTCGTTACAATTCCAAAGCTTGAAAAAATATTCCAAATCATTTTAGCCTCAAAAAGTTACTATCCCCAATACAGCTGCTGAGAATGAAAAATTACTGAAAGAGCTAATGGATGGCATAAGTGGTGAGAAACCTTCTAGATTTCATTGGAAACGATTTTTCTGAGGTCAGCTATCGGTTTTCAGGCGACACTAAACTGTCTTTAATATTCACTGGCTTGCCTTCTTCCATAAAACAGAAAAATTTGAAAGAGTGGCTGAGTCCAGTACGGGTTAAAGCAATGAAAGTAGGTATAGTTTTTACATTAGCATACTCATTGCCGAGTTCATTTTTCTATTTTTCATAAACCTAATCCCCTCTAGATTGTGAGGAATGAAACGGCTGCAGCTGCATTTATCACTTTTAACCGACCACCAGATGTACGTAGAGCTTTGCAGAGAGATCAGGAGTTCATCGGTGGCTACAAGGTGAGAAAATATTCTAAAACCCTACCCATACATATTTTGATTTAAATTAATATTACAACCGCATTTTCCTAGACTTCTTGTTTAGGGTATAATCCAGGGCGCGTACGGGTAGGGTTGGGCTTTGTAGCATACTATTAACCTCAAATCCTCTTTTGCGCGTTCTCTTTTCATATTTCGTGCTCTGGGTGAATACTGCAGTGAATTTCCATCAGAATGAGGCTGTGGGTTTGTCGAGGCTGTGATGGTCTTTTTTCAGCTCACAATATCGAAAGCAGCATTGGAGGAGGAAGTCCCTGAGGCGAATAATGAAGACGAGGACAATGCAGTTAGTAGAGAGACAGAGGAGGTGAGATCACACGATAAATTTCATTTTGTATTTGGTAGTTTGTATAATCATTGGCTTCATGTATAGCTTCCGTCTTACTGCTTCTTGCTATAATTCTTCGGTAGACATAAAATATAAAGTGTGGGAGGGATCAAGAGATAGCTTATAATTTACTTCAAAGTTTGTAACTTTACTATTTAGTTTTGAGTATGTTCCAGTAAGGCAACATCTATCACTCAGCTATTTATACAGTTTGCAGCAGTCTCATGTGGAACGAAATCCTTGAACTTTTCGCAAAACTGCCTGCGCTAGAGTTTCTATGGAAACTCTGCCGAAGATCGGTTACTTAAGCTGTCTTAAATTCAGGCCCGAATTCGTGAGGAACTCTTGGAAACGGGTAGACTCTTCGTTAGGAATTTGCCGTTCACCACCAAGGAAGAAGATCTGCACTTTTTGTTCAAAAAATTCGGAGAGATTGCCGAAATTCAGGTGGAAATCATTGACTTTTTCTTTGTGTTGATAAACTGAACCATCAGGAAACGATGTACATATTCCTGTTCAGGTTATAATCGATAAGAAAACTGGCAACTGTAAAGGGTTTGCTATAGTGGAGTTTGTGTTCCCTGAATCTGCTGTCGCAGCATATGCATCTGCGGATGGGACCATTTTCAAGGTTACTCTTCGATTTTATTCCCTCGAATTATTGGAGAAAGCTACTGTATTTCAAGGGTCGCATGATGCATATTATTCCCGGATCGGAAAAACGTGAAAAGAAAGATCCTGAAAAATCGGAATCGTCTGAGAAGACTTCATATAAAAAGGAGAAGTTGAAGAAGCTGAAAGCAAACGCTGCCAAGGTTCGATTTTCAATAGGGATGCTCCCACTCTTTATTAAGGTTTGATATGGAAACAGAAAATTGATTTTCAGTCCCATTCATGGAACGCCTTGTTCCTTGGACCTAACGCCATTGCGGATACTCTAGCTGAAAAACTTGGAGTAGAAAAGGGAGATTTATTGAATTCAGAAGGTGGAGAAAGGTACGTCTATAAATTGAAAACAATTGAAAAACATAAGAATGGCATTTCCTCTGCGAAAGCATAGGTTTTAGCGCTGGAGTGCGTTTGGCCCTGGCAGAAACAAGACTGGTTCGTGAAACAAGGGAGTTTTTCTTGGCAAATGGTGTTTGTTTGGATGCATTTTCTCGACCAGCGGCAAAGAGGAGGTAAGCCAGCGTTCCTCTATGTAATAATTGTTGTCTTCTCTCGGTTTATTCCATCTATGCCATAATGTGCTCATTACACGTTTTTCTTACTGTTTTTCTTCATTTCTGTAGTAACCATTTTTGAAACAACTACTTTATGGTGAATTGAGTGAGGGCAGAACGTCTTGTTGATGTGACGCAAAGCCATTTTTCCTATTGTGCTTTGGTCGAGCTCGCATAGTCGTGTATTAATCGACATCTACCCGATTTGCACCTCATCACTTTCATTTCGTTTTAGCCCCAGTTCACAACCTTAGAAATTTGCTGGATTCTTTATACAAATCGTACAACATCAAACTTTTCAGTAATAAATTTAGCTTTCTTCCTTCTAATTTACGTGTGGGTTTGTTATCACTTTTTTTTACAGCAACACCGTATTCATAGCGAAAAATTTACCGGCTGGTGTTGAAGAGGAGGAGCTACAACGAATGTTTGGAAAATTTGGGGAAGTTGACAAAGTTCTTATGCCTCCAGGTAGGGAATGCTTCGTGCTCTTACTTTGAATTTTTATTCTCTTTCACCACCTCGCACCCTGCACATGTGCTTATATTTTGATTTTTTTCTCTCATGTTATTATGGAGCTCCGTATTCCCATCATCTTGTTTGATTGCAGAAGGAGGAATCAGTGCAATAGTTGTAATGAATAATGTCGTCGATGCGAAGAAAGCCTTTCAAGCACTGGCGTATTCCCGTTTCCGCACACAGCCATTGTATCTGGAATGGGCACCGATTGATGTGTTCAGCAAAACTGCGGTGGAAAATAAGGTACTTCGAGTTTCTTCAATGATCCATTCCATCCTTTCCCATCGTCACGTAAGAAGGTCGTTCCTTTTTTATGAATTCGTTCCGCGTATTTTTCCAAAGTTGTTCTTGAATTATCTGTTTGATGGCAAGTAGTTTCGAGTGGTAGTTTGTTCGCTCTCATTTTCCGTGAGCCTCATTCAGGATTTGCCGCAGATAAGCCTATTTGAGCTTATGAAGTTATTGATACGGAAACTTCCTGGCCTTTTTCAGATTACTTTGCTAGAATCTATATTTTGTTTTCCAGCCTTCTGGCATAGTATGCTTTCATCTTTTCCGGTTGAAATATAGTGTCCCACTCTCGCTCATTAATTCTGTTAAAATGGTTGACTTGGTCTATTTAGGTCGACGAAACTGAAGAGAATGCTACGGAAACTACTGAAGTGGAATCTGCGAAAAAGAAAAAGAATAAACGTGAAATGACATATGAAGAGAAGAAAGCAGAAAAGCGGAAACGACGAGGACAAGATCAAGAAACAGTAGAGAAGAATGTCGAGGAAATGCAATCCACTTCAGACGTTGACAATGATACTGTAAAGAAGGTATACACTGTCTTTCATTCTGTAAGTAGTCAAGAAGTTTGTTGTTTAAGGCCGTGAAAGCTGAAGAGGAGGGCAGTAGTCTTCCATCTGAACCATCCAAAGATGTTGAAGAGCATACGGATGAGGATATTATTGAGCCGGGTTCGACCGTCTTTGTCAAAAATCTTTCATTTGATACAACCGAGGAAAGTCTTGACAAACTTTTCAGGTGGGCCTTTGTTATGCCGTGCTTCTGCTCATTTTTGATAGGACGATTTCTCAATTATTAGAATGACGATTTTTAGAAAATTTAAACTTGTTCAGGAAAAAATACCGCATCAAAGGTGTGCAAATTTCTAAGAAGTTGAATCCTGCAGATCCAAGCAAAAGCCTTTCGATGGGTTTTGGCTTTGTTCAGTTCTATACCCAAGAAGACGCCAAACAAGCCATCAAGGAATTGCAGGTAAGTTCAAATGTGTCGTCGAAGACATCTACACTGGGATGTGTCCCGAGTTTTTTAAATAAACGTCAGTAGCACTCGATAGTTGCTGAGAAGATTTTCCTTGGAGCGATGTAAAAAACCTCATAGAATTTCAGAGCTTAAGCAGGGGGCCACGGGCCTAAGTTGTACGATTGATAGCCCATAACTTTCAATGTTCCCACGATCCAGTCAGCCTAAGATACAACTCGACAAACTAAATTTTAGGAAGGAAGTTGTTTGAGCCCTTTCGTTCCAACAAAAGTACCCTTTATTATAACTACATGAGTGATTTAAGACTTTTCTCGGGAGAGCTGACTTCTATCACACGCGTTTTTATGCGGTCGTTAACAAATTTCGACTGATTTAGGGCGAACTCCTCAATGGACACTGCTTAGAGTTGAAGATATCACATCGTGAATTAACCAGCAACGATGCATTGAAGCGAAAAGCTGTGTCGGCAACGGAGCAAGGCACCTGCACGAAGCTGTTGGTTCGAAATATACCTTTCCAAGCCAGCATCAAGGAAATCGAAAGCCTTTTCGCTTCATTCGGAGAGATCAAGAGTATTCGGATACCGAGAAAGGTTGGTTCCTTCAGAGATTTTTCATCCATTGATGCAGTTAAGTTACATGATTATTAGATGAAGCCTGAGAGCGAGTTGATTACATTATGTAAAAAGAAAAGAGATTAGTACATTCGAAGTTTCAATACCGTCAGTTGTCACTGTATTTTTTTTACAATATCTGGTTGATTATTCATACAACGTACCCGTTCGAAATGATTGTTGTTTAGCTCGGTAGTGGAGATCAGCATCGTGGTTTTGGATTCATTGACTTTATATCAATCGGAGAAGCCAAACGCGCATTTGAAGCACTTGTCCATTCAACTCATGTCTATGGAAGAAGATTAGTGTTGGAGTGGGCGAAAAGCGATGACACAGTGGAAGAGTTGCGTGAGAAGACTGCTGAGAAATTCAGGTATTACTGGAGCATGGTTATTCGATTTTTTTCACAGTCATACTTTCCTTTTTATTTTGATCTTTCACATCGAGTCCTTTTGGCTTTACTCTCGACGAGGAGGAAGGCTTCTGCTTCTGTATTTTGAGCTTCGAATCCTATTGACAATCTTTACCTATCAGTTGATTTGGAAAGCTTTACGAACCGATCCTTTCTCATTCAGCGCTTGGCTACCTTGAAGGGTTGAGCACGTTTCTACTATTCTATCCTCTATGTCTACAGTATCTCCCAAGAATCGCGATGCTAAGAAGATAAAAAGTGTAGCCGAAACTTATTCGAATCCTGGATAGGGGCCGCGGCCGCCTCTTCAAGGGAAACATTGCTAAGAGTATTTATTCCCACACGCTCCCCAGACCACCTATCCGAGCAAGGTCAGGGTGTTTGCCTTTCGCAGAATGTTTTGAACGCACCCTCTGTTATCTCTTTTGTTGAATTTCCCATTCACTCGACGATCGTAAAATGACCACCCTGCTTTTTCATAAAAAAATTCTTTCACGTCGTTGGATATCTAGCATTTCTGCACTCGCATATCAACATCTATTAAGCTGCATGAGTGAGTTTCAAACACGATAAACCTGATGAGAAGCCTAACTTTGAACGTAATGAGTAAAATGCTTGATGTTGTCGATAACATTAGGGCAGCCTACTCTGGAATTGCGCTTTTTTGTCAAAAAATATTTGTCCAGGCTGCGACCCAGTAAGTCAAATGGTTCATGCGAGGGCGAGTATAGCTTTTGTGGTTGTGGCCACTGCACTAACTCCTTCCAAGCACAAATTGTTCTCATACTTGTCTACCGATAAGGACTCATAAGAGTTTTTTTTTAATTTCACCTCTGATAGTAAAAGGAATCATCGGATGATTGATTGGTATAAAGGGTTGTGTCAGACAGAACCATGTGGGGTTCTTCACTGTGAAGTGACCTTTCTGAATCTAGTTTTGGGGCAGACACCACTACACTGTAATATGGCAAAGCGGGAAGCAATATTGATAATAGACGCGTGTAACAACGCTGATAGTTGACCTAGATTTTCTCAACATCCTACTCGATTTAATGGCTGCTGCCGAGGTTACTGGGCACGAAATCAAGTCATTACGCTGATGCCCTCAGAGACCTTCTCAAAGGCCTTTTTTCTTCACAATGAAGACGCGATAAGTTTGCCCCTAGGCGCTAGACAGTGTCATCCGTAGTGCTTGAGAAGCTTAAGAATTACAATAATGAAAGTGTTTTTCTTGCTCGACTACACACCTCTGCAATGTGCTATGTCTTCGCTTCTGTCAACGAAAGCCCCACTCAAATTTATTTTTGACCAGACCTTATCGCTGAGGTGGAATTCCGTCCAGTTTATCAGAATGAGCGGTCGTCTGGGATCAGAAGAGTAGGGAAGTGAAACAAGCGCTGTATACATATTCACACGTCCACACTCATGACCACCCGTGACCGCAAGGGTACTCCCATGATCGCCCATAGCCCTGTAGGTACACCCATGACCTGGCACCATGATCAATGCGCAAACACACCCAAGTAGTTTTTTGAGCGTTGCAAAAGAAGCTGGTAGTTTTGGTGATTGATGTGTTTTGTATATCTATACTTTCTGTCTAGTCATATGATTACTTCAGTGGTGGGCGTGTAGCGAATCGAAAACAGAAGAAACGTATGGAAGCGATAGAAAAGGACCTGGCGGTGATTGATGATGATTAGCCACCTTCGATTTCATTTTCATTTTTGGCTTCTCATTTCTTTTACGTCTCCTTTTTTGTTATCAATTTGATCTGAACGCAGCCTTTCATCCATGAGCGGGCGATCGTTCTATCAGGCGTTGAATCACATAGTTTTGGCTATAGCATTAGGGTAGGTAAAGTTATACTTAACATTTTGGTACAGATGTACTCTTCCCTTTACTGTTATCAGTTTTTTTGCCTCTTTGAAATTTTTCTGTCGTTATTTTGTTGATATTTGATGATTTGTTGTTATTGTTGATTGTTTCATTTTCATGTTGATTCGATATGATTATAAAGAAAATGAATATTACTAGTTAAGTGATTGGATAGAACAATCATTTTGTTAATGAACTAAAGACAACATACCGCCGTTATCTAGTTATTGTCTGTGTCGGTACGTGCTGATTTGATAACCGTCGTCCATATTAACAATGCCTAGGTGTACGTATGTGTCGGTGTTCAGTGGTTTGTGGCTTACTGACTTCTCTACCTACCCTTTAGTTGACCATCACTTACCTTTTGTTTTTTTTTAAGCATTCGACCACCTGGTTAATTTGTTGATCATTACTAGGCTACATATGACACTTTCCATATCAAATCTTTCGCTTCTTTTGTAAATTTTTTATTTAATAATTCCTCTGAAAATGCTGAAAAGTGTGCCCATTTCGGAACTAGTCTGGAACCCCATTATCCTCCCGTATATTGCTCTTTATACACAAGCACTTGGATTTTCAAGTCCCCTTATTTTATTTTATTTTTTGTAAAATTTCAAAAACGAAGTGATTTCTGAGATGCTGGTCCTAAATTTTTTTGTGGATGTCCACTCATCTGTTTTCACCCTGTTGGTGGTTGTTAGAGCATCTTGAGTGCAATTNATGGTGTAAATAGCACGTGCTCTCATGCCATGTGATTGACTGGCGATTTGTATTGACCTTTGCTTCCGGTGGAAGAGGTCCCTATTAAAACTGGATTCTGGCTTTGGATGTTTATTTTTAGATGAGCTTATGGATGGACATAAGCCTTTCATAAATGAGTATCCGTTTATTCGGTAGGTTCACCTTCGGATTGAATTAATTGCTTTACGTACAGGTGGTGAAAATAGTTTTTAGGGCAGGTCAAAGGCCAAGGGGGTGTGGTTTAATACCATTTTGGTGAGACTATCCAAGCGAAGTGGTTGCGTGTCTCGGTACCGGCGTATATTTCAATGCGAAATAGAGCGATGATCGTCAAGTAGTACATGAGAATTCCAACAAATTCAAGGTCAATCTAAGTTTTGTTCGTTTTTTGTTTGATCCTTCCCATTCAATTAGAAACGAGTTTATCACCATCTGTTCGTAATTTTTGAAGTGATGACGTTATTCTAATGAGTTCTGAAGAACATGGATGGTTCGAAGACGATAAATTCGTTAGATTGTGATAATTGCACTTAAGGAAGGACTACGGAAGGAATTGATACCTCAATTTTTCATGGTTATCATCTCAATTGCGGAGGATCATTTATTGCGTTATCGTGCCTATTCAGCATATTTCAACTGCTCTTCTATGCTTTTTTTTGTGACCGAGCATGTTCCTCTGATGAAATCTCTCTTACTTCTTTCCCAGGGCATGAATATGGGAATGAGGGAGCTCGTCAGGTTGCACTCGTCATCCGCTTGAACCATTTTCTGGTGAGATTTATGGGCATTCGTGGAGCTGTTTCTAAGATTAATATGGCGGTGAAGATTGTAGCAGTTGAGTTTTTCAACTACTCTCTTTTACCATTCTCCTTAGGACTCACCATAGGCCTTTTTAGGCATTCCGCCTCTCCTCAGGTAGTCCTTTAACTACCTTTGGATATTCTCGTTTTTATCTACTCCTCGTCTAGTCTGTTCTGACGTCTTGTTATCTGTCATTACCGAGATTACCACAAGTTCGTCACTTTGAAGGTTGATAGCAGTTTGTAGGTTCAATGAGAGCTACACTCCAAAATGGGAGACTTCAGAATTTATTTTTTCCCCATTGATAGCTACGTGTCAATTTGTTCAGCTGATTGCATTAGTCCTCATTAGAGCAAAAAAAAAGCTTATCGAAATTTTTAATTCGCAACACAAATCCTCTAATAAGTGGAATTTGTGTGGAGCGCCTTTCTTGGGGATCCATTCATATTTTAGTCATAATTATTATTAAATTTGCTATATTATTTTTAATATGTATTTTTTACCCTTTTTACTTTCGAGATTAATAAGACATAACACCACTAAATAGGTTGACCCCTCCATAGTTCCTGACTTATTTCGGTACTGGACATGACTTCGTTGGTCCAATAGGGCTCGCCTTGCAGGCCACACCCATTCACAGGTCCCACCCTTTTCATGAGAAGCATCGAAAGCTAGCCAAATAGCTGACCAAATGTGCGGCCAAATTTTTTTGGTTACCAAATTCGGAAAACGGTTAAATTTTTTAAACATTAAAAAGGTTCCGTTTTTATCTGTGGTTATGAGTTAATTTCACCGCTTTCTTATTGAAGGATCGGATCATTCTCATTTTTGAGCTTTATGAGCCTAGATATAACCTTGTAGCTGGTACAGCGTACAATTGAACTGGTGTGCTCTTATTTATTGCAATATGCGCCAATTCTGTTCTTATGATCTTGAGACCATAGAAGGAAGACCCACAAAGCCATTAATCTTTCAGCGCTGAGTTTGTATCGCGGGAAAGGCGAGCAGTATCGGATCATAAATCTTTTCCAATAGAACGTGTTTCCGTTAGAACTCCCACGTCTCGTTCTCTTACTGTGGGAAAGTCATGCGATGATCTTTGCGGTAAAATTGAAAGTTTAATCTCATTAGTTGAAAAAAAAACCGGCGCTCTTCTGCTATTCAGCCCTTTTTTCGGCCAAGGATTGAACCCTCAAATCATATGGCTGGTACCGGCGCCAGTTGGTAACAACCTTCAACTCCAGCTTCTCCCGAGCTGGAGATGGAGGTAGAGCCAAGTGCCTTCTCTAGCACACATGTGGACCGAGAATCCGAATACCGTAACCAAATTTAACGAAGCGAGGAAAAACTTACATTACCAGTTGAAAGTTTCTACCACCTGCCTCTTCTCTAAATGGCTGTCCGCCGTATCTTGGGTAGACCAGAAACGCTTACAACTCTCGCTGCGATTTGGAACGGCACTGGATTGTTTTGACCGATCCCTGGACGGGAATGATCAAGGCTAAAATGATAGTTGCAGGCTAGTACACTGGTAGTCAAAGACTTTATTGAGATTTTTTTGTCATTCTTTAGAAAAGTTAGAGGGGAAGGGGATCGTGCCCAAAGCCTTGGGATCAATCGGACACGTGCTATCGCCGGAAGAGAAAGTTTCCCATCACAACAATTGGACCTCATGTCACTTTGTATGAAAGGCTGCACCAATTTCTTCTCCTTGGAAGTTTTGGAATCTCTCTTCCTTCTCTTCATTTGAATGCTTTTCCAAGACGACAGTTGAGACCTTTCATCCTCCAGAGTGAATATTCCTCGTGAGAGGCTTCCTAAACCCTTCACTTCGATAAATAAATCGAAGCATGATGGCAGTCATGACGATTGATTTAGAGGAACTGGCACGTACACAAAAATCGAAACCTTCCTGGTTTGATTTTCTGCGTTCCTCATATTGTCAGGTGACGGCTTAGGGAGTCATTTCTAACAGTCCAAAAAGATTTATTGACGGGCTCGCATAGAGGAATTTGCATCTTTTTGCATCAAAAATCTCTTTATCATGAAGGAAGAGCTGTCAAAGTAATTGGATTTGTTTTTATTTCCCTTTGCAGAGAAAATGCCTCAGAAAAACTTGGGGTTCTTACCAAAAAACTCTAATACTGGTTTAACACAGCCATTGAGTTCAGATGACGTCAATGCATGGCGCGACCGTTATCTGGAGAGAAAGTCGGCGATTTACTCATACAATCGTTCTTACAACTGACTNGAAACCTTCCTGGTTTGATTTTCTGCGTTCCTC